AGCACCCGCATGCGCTCTCTCTTGGGAGTTGGTCAGATTCTGTCTTCTTCACCATGACAGAGTTTGTCCATGCTCGAGACCTTTTTCCTTATTTCGCAAGATCTCAACTCATTTTTTCCGTCCAATTTCCATCTCATTTGGGTGTTTGTTCCTATTGTTATTAACTTTTTTTACTGACCTAATAAATATACTTGGCTGACAGAATAGATAACCTTGCTGTGCTATTCTTAGGCCACCTAGGACTGAGTATTGCTCGAAATAGTGCGTCTCAAGGGGAGCCGGTCTCTAATCGATCGCACGCGAACTCGTCTCGCACTGAGAACGATTGCTATAAGCAGATGGAACCGTGCTACCTTTCGAAATGCTTCCGAATGCTTATCAATGTCTTCTTTCAAGCCAGTTTGTCGCTTGCTTTTGAGAACCGACCTTTTCAGTTAATGTTCTTTTTAGCTTTTTCCAGGGTATCATATACTTTTTGCTTACACTTTTTAGTTTCAGAGCTTCCGAGCTTTTGGTGCCGTATGTGACATTTTTGTGTGATAATGTAACAAAAACATTGCTGTGTATTGAAGTGGTAGAAAATTCGTTGGTCAAGAGTAAAATGTTTCTTTTGGCCAAGAAAGCCTCGAGCAGGGAAGCCAGGAATCATTACCGTTGGGTCAGTTATCCGATTCAGCTGTCTTATCTTGCCTGTGTTGCGTAGGCACTTTCCTGCAGTCGATGGTCAGTGTCCGGAAGGAAAAAGCACTTGTTAACTTCCTGCGATTAGTCGCCATGTTCAACTTTCTAAAAACTTCGGCATTGTGTCGGTTGCATAGCCAAAGTTCGCTGCGGATGATGGGCGTTGACTCGGCGTCAACTCTTTTTTCTTCCTTGTTTCTTCTTTCGGCACCGTAGATTGTGTCATATAGTTCGTATCAGTCGTTTTCCACTAGTTGTCGTCTCCCGCCTCAACGACTGATGGAGAATGGGTTGGCGGCGCGCCAACGTCAGCCGCGCGGACACGCCCCATCATCCGCAGCAAACCAGACTGCAAGTGCTTTGCTTCAACATTCATCATATTGTTTCCGAAGGGTAGTAGAGGGGTTGGTTCGGGTAGTCATTAAATCACTTCGATCCTCAGAGGGAAGGTAAATCTCAGGAAACCATAGGCAAATAAGTTGATTTATCAACCTAATATGGAGTTGAAGTACAATCTTTCGATTGGTTTCGGCTGGTTTCTGTACATATCTTACCAAGCGAGCTCCGATAAAGGCTTTAGCTTGCGACTTCTTGCGCCAGCTTTTTTTAACAGGCCGTTATAAGCAGCAATCAAGTACCGTCGCAGGTATGTCCTAATGAATTCAGCTCTCTGCCAAGGGAACCTCTCCTGAATCTTCCCTCGGTACTACTATGGTGGTTTGCTAGGGGTTGTGGGTGTGGTGCCGAGGAGACGAAGCAGCGCCGTACAGGTCAATTTTGAAACTGGACCTTGGTGACAACATGGTGCTCACAGGTTTAGTCACCATATTCGGTGACAAAGCCTGATAGCTTCCAGATACTTTCTGAAGGCAGCTTAGTGGTCTAGTGGATCAACATTGGGTGACCTAATCTCTTTTTTTCTATTAATGCTCATATACTGTCCACAAGTCTTCCTAGAGTGCACTCATGCCTCGCGTCAGCGTTGAGCGTATGGCAGCGTTCTGAACAACCAGGAAAGGACAACTGTCGATCCAAAGTTTGGGGCGTACGATAAAGCGCTGGCGCAAAGTACGAACACACCCTTGATGACGAAGAAGACGGTGGTTAAAAGGCATTCGCATTTCGCGATTGTTTTGCTTGTACCGGCAGGCGAGCAGCAGCGCTGACGGTGCTCTACCACCAAACGGTGGACCAATGCAACCAATGCCTAGTACGATCATGATGAGAATGAAAGATTTTCGACCATTTACTTCATCGTATTTACTCGTACGTTGTCCGCAATCTCTACGTGTCTCGGTTTCTGTAGCGCATCCTCGAACTAGTGTAAATGTGTTTTTTTTCCATTTGCATCTAGACATATACGCCTCTACTTTCGTTGTTGTGAGCACGAATGCGTCGCAGAAAAGTGAAAACACGTACGCGGAAACTATCTGGCTACTGTAGGGAGGAACACTGATAATACTGTGCTCCCTATCTATGTTCTGCCTGCTCGAGGGACACGATGAACTTCATACCATTCGTTCAGAGCTCTCACGCAGAAGTCTGATCATTGCGTAGGCGGTCGGGCCAGGTACACGTTTGACACCCCGAGGAATCCAGTCGGTAAGGCCGCGTTCATACATGGTGCAGAAATGCGGAATATGCAGAACTGCGGAACATGCAGACAGAAGATGTATACGTATCGATTTGAAAACCGCATTTCTGCAAATTCCGCGGAATTTGCAGAAATGACGGACAAAGAAGTGATAGGGATCGATCGATTCGTTCCTGCCGTCGTGCGGAATTGGGAGAAATGCAGAATCTGCAGATTCCGCATTTCGCATTTCGGCAAATTCCGCGGAATTTGCAGAAATGCAGAAATGACGGACAAAGAAGTGATAGGGATCGATCGGTCCATCGGCATTTCTGCAAATTCCGCACTTCTGCATATTCCACGGTTTTTGAAATCGATAGACATATTTTCTTTTTCTGCAAGTTCCGCGGTTCTCCCATTCCGCAGGTCTGCAAATTCCGCAGTTCTGCACATTCCGTGGTTCGGCATTTCTGCATCATGTATGAACGCGGCCTAATCCCTTGGTCCAGCGATCACCTCCGAACCCTGGTACTCCTGACCTTCCAAACCTTGGTAAAAAGGCTGCATCGCCCATGTTTGATCGTCGATGAACTGCGGATTTCTCTCTCAGTTGCGTGTAGCGGGAAACTCCGAGCATCGCCCTTTCGATGGCGCGTTGAATAACGCCAACCGCATGTTCATCCTGCTTTCGTAGAGTCCAAGTCTCTGAGGCGTACGTCAAGGCAGGAAGGACCGCGGAATCGAAGAGGTGGGCACGGAACCGTGTTCTTCGTCTTCTTCGCTACTCCCTTGAAACTGAATGCTTCCCAAACTACTCGCTTCCTCCTGTTCAGCTCTTGTCTGAGTCGCTTACCATATTGACTCCAAACTCACGTTCACATAGTTAGAATATTCAGAGTGTTTGTTCTGCTGAGCGAGAATGGGGCATTAGGAACCAATTCGTTGTTCACAAACATCGTCATCATCACATTCATCTGTAAGAGCGCGTTCAGACTTCGCGATCGCGCGATCGGATCGCTTGGATCGCGCGATCCGGATCGCGCGATGGCGAAGTCTGAACGCGCTCTAATCAATCTGTACATAATCAGTTTTTCCACTCGGCAGCCGATTCTGGAATTCCACATTTCGGGTTACTGGTCAGCGCCAAACCTCAACTGTTTACTGATGTGTTCCAACGTTTCGGCTGCACGACGAGTCAAAGAAATTGGTGTCGTTTTTATTTCACATCGCTCGTGTCATTTCCCGGTAAATGGACAATAAATTCCGAAGTGCATCTCCCTAGGGGAACCTGTTCACTCGGGGAAATTTTATTCGCCATACTTAGTATTGCTTTCGGTCCCTTCTTGTATTGGTGGTATAAGTTCGCATACCGTCGGTCCTATACACAACTTCAGGTGCCGTTGAATCGTTCGTTTTAATGGGTTTGTTGTTCATCTGATTCGTATTGTTTGCCACTACACAGTGCATGGTACCATTGTAAGAGCAAAACCAATCTATAGCTTACGTTCGTCGTCGTTGTTTGGTATTCTGTGATTCCATTCCTTGACCTTAAAAATATAGTGGTTATCCCGCTAGCAATCAGTTGTTCCTCAAAAGTTAGGATTCTGTATTTAAAACCTGCTTATTTTCACTGATGAGTAGAATGAGCTCAATGATTAGCGTTACTACGTTTGTTAGCAGTCTCTTTTGAAAAACATGATCTTTCCAGTTGATTAATGAAGATAGAGGACCCCACAGTTCATAGTCTAGCAAACTTCCTTGAGCGATTCAGGAACTGCGTATACTGAGGTTTGGTACCCGTTTACTAGCCGTATGGCGAAAATTGTCGATCTATTCAAGCTACAGAGCCCTATAGTTAGGACGATCAACTTGTTTTCGGCGGAGCATGGCTGCGCAAAGCGTTGTTTTACAGTGTTTTCCATTACTGCGTGTCTTAGTATTTGCTATACATGAAAGACGAGAGCAGGAGGCGAGAGACTAGCAGATTGAAGGTTCACAGAGAGGTGAGAGAGAGAACCATTGATTTAGCAAACAGAGTGGCTGAAAGACAAGCCAGGTGATTACATATTGTGGATAGTGGTGTTCGTTACAAACTTGTAGTCGCCATGTGAATTCAGGGAAAAGAAAGGCGGGAAAAAAGTAATGGAGAATACCTCAAGTAAGAACCCGGAAGCCTCTCGCGACCGTTCGCCTCTGGCTCACTGATCGCTTCTTCGCTTCATCCAATGCCAACACCATCTAGCAGTGGAAAAAACAATGTGTAAAAACTGTACTTGTGATAGAAGATAGCCTTTGATTGTCGGTAGGCGGGGCAACTAGAAAGGCGTCAGAATTGTCACTTATGAGGGCCACAGCGCCTTCACTGCTAGCTGTGAAGCCGAGTGGGACAGTTTTAGAGAGTGAGGACCGGACTATCTCCACAAGAAGGGAGGTTTAAATGAAGGTTAACGCTGGTGTTACTGTTTTGTTCCGAGTTTAAATTCGAATGCAGATGTCCTCACCTGGCTGTTCTCGAACTCGTCCGTGATTATTTTCACTGTTAGTGTTATTCTGCTGTAGTGTGTGTCGCTTTTGGATCGCCGTCGTTTCGCATCGCTTCATTTCAGTGCCACATCTATTTGCCGACAAGCAACTCTTTGTATGATAGATCTGGTCGTCGTCCGCGGCGGTGCGTCACACGCAGCACAGACTGACGGGGCGTTCTGAATCCTGGCATTCACGCGAATGTGCTACTTCTATGTGTAGTATGAATACGTCGACACTGGTCGAGACGGTCAACATCAATCTGGAAGACTTTTCGGAGACTTTTCTCACCTGCTCTACGTGCCTCTATACATACGACCAGGTGTGATTTGTTTGCATTCAAGGTCAACGTTTTTCGTCTGATATTCCAAAATTCTAGAACTTGAACTGCTTGTTTTCTTCTAGTTTCCATACCCTATTTTCGTGATTTTTACGATTTTTTCTGGGACTGAACATAAGCGGATAAGCGGGGTGTGACGTACGTTGTCTAATATATGCGTGCATATGCACGCTGAGATCGATTTTGCTCCATCACATTATGATTGCCTACGCCAACCGGCACGTTAACGAATTTATAATGCTCGATAGGAGCTTGCTGCGCATCACAAGACCTCACTATAAAAGTGTTTGGCACTGTCCAACTATTACTATCCTGAAAGCTCGAAAAAAATTTTCTGCAGAAACTTCGCCCATACTGGTACTTGGTTATTATACTTCGTTCACGAGAATGGCAGTCGTTTTTGAAGCTGGCGCCAACATACTTTTCTCACTAAAATCGATGTAAACTTGCATAGTGGGATTGTTCGATGTCCTGATCACGAATATGACATTCATATTTCGCCCTGGCGCTATTTGACTCCATTGGGCCCCGCGCCACATGCTTTTCCACCAAAAGGACTTACATAGTGGGGTTCTCCGATTTCCTGATCACGAAGGTGGCACTCACTTTCGAATTGGCCTTCGGCTAGGGTTGAGCCTGAGAGGAGGAGGAGTGAGCCTTAGCAGAGCGCATGATCGTGGTTTTTCACTAGCGCCGCCAAGAATGAATGTTATGATCGTAATCAGAATGTCAAATTTCCCCCCCCCCGTGTACAAGTTTTCACCGATTTTCGTAGATATTTTGACGCCCCACTAGGCGGTGTTGGCCATACGGATGTGATATTCATGTTAAGGAGGTAAACCCTCAAAGACAAGTTTTCACAAAGTTTGGTGATTTAGGACATTTGGCACCGGCGTTTGTGGCGCGCGCCAGACGGTTTTAGGTCAAGCAATGCGATATTCCTGTTCAGTAGGTCGAACTACCCTTGGAAACATTTTCAGCCAAATCTGCCCTCTTAGAAAAAGCCGATAAAACCCGCCTCAAAACTTTCATGATTTTTTTTGTTTCACTTTTTCTAGTTGGCATCTTTGAGGTGGACTTTCGATCTTCATCGTTCTTTTTTATTTTCATTATTACAGGTTACTCGAAAACCGAAGCTTCTGCCGTGCTCTCATTCAGTTTGCCTGTCGTGCCTAGAACAACTGGCAGCTTTGCCTCAGGTACTACAATTTCTCATTTTTGATTATATTCCAGAAAAAATGCCTCCTTTGCCAGCCATTTTGGCTATGTTTCGAGAAACAATTCAATTTTTCCAAAAATTGAATTCCATTCAATTTTTTTCGTCACCAGCCATCTGAGAGGACACCTTGCTGAACAGCCTCTTTGCAACATCCATCAGTGGGAATGATTTTGATTTGAGGGCACCATATTTATGGTGGTCATAACTAGATAATGTCTGCGTGCATTTCCCTTGTTTTATCGAATTACCGTTGTCTTCGTCGAAGGTTAGGCCTGTTTCCTCCAATTCTTCTGCATCAGCCCAACTTTTTATCTTAGTTTTTTTTTCCTTTGCTTCAGTTGAGCTATGTCTGAAAATATGGCTACCAACACTTGCTGCAGAGTGCCATTTGATGTGTTCTGATCTCTCCCCATTCAGGGGGAGGGAGGTCTGACCAACCTTAAGCCGGACAGCAGACATTCGATCGTGAAAGATTGAATATCTGCTATCCGGCTACTATTCGGTCATATGCTAGATTTCAGAAGGCATTTTCGGTAATATCTTTTGCTCATGACCACTGCTATAGCCGTCTTTCTGGTTATTGAGCTGTTGGGCTTTTGCTCTCACCTAGCTACGTTTTCTCTACCTGAAATGGAGAACAGTGTTTTGAGGAATGTAATTATCCATCTTGGTCCTGTGTTGTCTTTTGATTCACTTGATACTACTTCTTTAAATCCAGAAACGTTAACCGTAAAGTTTGCCTCGATCAAACGTTGATACCTACGTGGGGTTCCAATGATTCTCGGTTTAGGTATGAAGGAAAAGGCAGAAGAGTTCTGACAAAATTTATTTTTCATTGTAGTCCCCCATAACCTCAATACCCTTGTTTGCTCGGGAAACTAACTTTTCAATACCCTCTGAAAATTTTCCTCCTTGTCTCTAAAATGTGCATCAGTTGCCGCCTTCAGCTCTCCATCATCAGAAAAACGCTTTCCACATACATCTTTTCTTTCGTTGGGGAGCAAGAAGTTCTCGGTAATCATTTTTTCATTTTCTTTTAATTTTCTCAATTTTCTTTTCATTTTTCTCAATTTTTTATCAGTAATCATTTTCTCAACATTGTCGCATCAGTCATTCTGGTCTTCTTTCACCAAGGATACTAGAATAGCATTGATGATAACTGAATGAAATTTTGTATTTCTACCACTAGAGATTTCTACCCCTAGACATTTAGAATTTTGTATTTCTACCCTAGAGCGGTGTCGCTATCTACTGAAATAATTTAAAATAATCGTCTTTGTTAAATTACCTCGATGCCGAGAATACTTCATACGGCCCTGATAAGAGGAAACTCATCTTCCGGGAATCGTGCTAGGGAATGTACTTGGGAAAGAAGGTCTTTAATGCGGTATGTGGCACAAATATATGCTGCGACTAAGACCATTTACCACGTTCTCTCTCTCCAGTCGTTGAGATTTCAAGTGAGGGAAGTCGAAGTAAATTTAGCATAACAAGTGAGAGAAAACAAGGCACAGAAGCGAAGTCCGATAATTGTTCTTTACCCTTCTGCTCTCCTCTACCGGTGCTTTCATGCCCAGCTCTGATTCGGACTTGCTTCGTAGTTGTGCTATTCTGCGCTATCGCTCTGTCGAGTTGTTTTTCTTTGTTTGCAAAGTGCTTGATTTCGTCATAGCCTGGACTGAGTTGATGGCACTTTTTGCATTTGCTTGAATGTGGCATTAATTTTGTCGAAGCAAGGCCGCAAATGTTTTTCGCAGCATCATTTTCCGAGCAAATACTGGTACATTCGATTAAACCGGAAAATAGTCATTGTATATCTCACAATTAGTATAGGAATTGGTACAAGGCCGTGATGATAGCCGTGGGAGAGTTGCTCTGAGTTCATGCTGAGGCACGCTGAGATATTCTACCGCCGGCGTTACTGAGTAGGACTGTAGGAGCAGATGAGAACGCTGTTTAGGAACGGCAAATGCGCAGAGACCATTCAAGAGCTACCGTTGACGTGTAGCGCATTTAATTGTGTATTAGGAATCATCTAGAACTGTTGCTAGATGACAGTGTCACGAGAAGTAAAGTCCGGTGCGAGAGTAGAGGCGGACTAGCTATAATTGCTCTAAGAAAGCTAGGTCGTGCCTAGAATCTGTAGAAGTTTTAAAACCCGTAACACTTCCTCGAGCGCGCACTATTTGAAAATTTCATCATTCCTTGTTCTAGAGATGTGTGGCAAGAGCTAGTTACATTTAACTGGGAGTAGTGCCGTAACCATGTCAGATTTGGTCCATTGGGTTCATACCTACTCTCGTTGTAAGACACCGAAGGAGCCTGGCGTTTCTTCCAATGCATGTAAGGCAATGGCGCAAATAGCCATTGAGCTGAGTTGGCAAGAGTGGGCCCCGGTAGCGTAATAGGGAACGCAACCGCCCGGTAAGCGGAAGATGCGGGGAATCCCGTCCGTGGTCCGACTTTTGCCCACAACTCAGCATTCTTGTGATAACTTTCGGATCGCGCACTGCGGCGTTAAACAGCAGTTATCAAACAATGTATGCATACATATTGCTCGAAGAAAACGAATACATTTCTGGGCCATTGATTTACTAAATTAGCTTACAGTTTCAAAGGCAGAGCCCATGATCATTTATAATTATTTAAGCTCTTCATAGGGGAAGTGGCGTGGACTGCAGCAAGCAGTCATCGATAATTCATTAATATTGCTATGCCTCTCGAGGTTTTCGTGTGGAATATTTATTTACCGGCCTAAAGTTTCGACGTGGTGAGGCCTAAACGCGCTTCGAGTTAAGGAGATGAAACTACCCCACCAAGCGCCCAACCCAACCCAGCAGTTCCGATGATGTGTTCGGAACTCAACAAGAAAATTCTACAGAATTCGAAAAGCGCACTCACCAGGGTTCCACCGCAAATCCGTCGTCTTCAAACGCAAATCCAGCGGCAAATCTGTCGGATGTTAGCTGGTATATTGAAACCTACTGTAGGGTCTCCTTATACGTATAATGTTAAGGAGACGCACGTAACACCGCTACTTATAATTCGCAGTATGGCATGAACGGCAAAAAGTCATTAGCTATTGACGGACACTCATTTCTGCTGTTCATCCTAGGATTCCTGCTTTTGATTCGTGTGGAACCCTGGTGAGTGCACTTTTCGTATTCTGTAGATTTTCTTGTTGAGTTCCGAACACATCATCGGAACTGCTAGGGTTGGTTGGGCGCTTGGCGGGGTAGTGTTCATCTCCTTAACTCGAAACGCGTTTAGGCCTCTGAAGAAGACGACCACGTCGAAACTTTTTGGCCGCTAACTAAATAACTATGCCACCTCAAAACCAGCAATCGCAAGAGGCATAGCAATATTAACGACTATACAATGATGCCGAGGTTACAGCAAGAGAGAAGCTGGAGAATCATCGATAAGGTTCACGTCAGAAAACGGTAAGGTAGCGGCGGTAAAGCACAATGTAGCTGAAGTGATTTCGCCAACAAGTGAACAACTACGCCCGCCCTGACATATGTCTCATCTGCCGTCTTGCTGTTTTGCTGCTTTCTCGGTGCTTTCCTTGGTTTCTCGCCCGATAATTACATCGATCCATTTTCTCTAGCTTGGAAGGAGTAGACCCTATTGTAACCCTATCTCATGCATTTTGTTTCATTAAAAAAACTCAGACAGAAAAGATTTTCCTATTCAGTTCAAAACTTGCGGAAATTCCAGGACACCCTCTATGAGTGCAACAAATGCGTCACCGTTTCGTGTTTGCATAACTTTATTTGCAATGTTCGTCCTTCGAGTTGCTGCTTCGGCTTTTGTTCTTAATGTACATAGGAAATAAGCCAGCAGACTGCTTTGATTAGGGTTACGGTAGACTTAAGTAGAATAACAAATAGAAACAATCTTCACATTTATTGGTTTGGTTTTTGCGTCTTGGCAGCAGTTGTAGCGCTACGCGTTGAGAACAAGTCAGTATAGTGCCAATCCTTGCTACTTTCGTTCTCCGCTCCTGCTTTTTCCATTTTGTGCAAATGGTCTCCATGTCGCCTTTGAGTCATAATTCGTTGGCGACAGCAACCTTTGTAAGTTTACGGTATTGTTCTGTCTTGCAGGTGTCAGTTTCCAGCAAATCAAATGAACGGCAGAATTTTTGTCAAAGATTGAAGTGATTGATTGAAGATCAGTTGGAATTCTCACCAGTTCAAGACAAAGTGCACTCTTACCTCCGCGGGTCCTGGTCCTTACTAAGTGCGAGGTGAACGCTTTCTCAGCTGCATTATCGTGCGGCTTTGTCCGCTCGAAAGCGCAAGAGTGTTCTGTTACCTGTAGCTCGGTCAGTAGCTTGTAGATAAGGAGGACGTATTGTTGCACCAGTGTCGTAGATTTCCGCGTACTGTTTGCAGCCAGCACAAAAGTTCTATGGCACCGAGTAAGAGAAGAACTCGGGAATTTGGAGATCGTTACATACCCAAGAGCTCCTTCCTACATCTATGATTTTTCGCGCCATCGCGCTCCTTCGCGAGACGAGATTCGCATGAGTAGACACCATAGAAATAAGCACTTCTCGCCAGGAACGACGCTAGCGTCCAGCTGGTCTTACACCGTGACTTTAAGGTCCCACATCGTATCTTGTTCTGGCTAATCGGTCTTCTCATCGAATCGGCAGATCCTGTAGTCGTCCTGCATGGCAAAAATTAATGGTCATTGCACTTTGATCGTTCGCCATTTAGGTTGCTCTATGCGTACAGTTAAGAATCGTATTAGTCTTCTAATGCGATTAGGCTCATACGGTTTTTTTGGGTCAGCTAACGAGTTGACGCAGATGTTTTCCTCCTTCCAGATAACGCGATTGTTTTTCTCCTTCCAGACAAATTCGTTAACCTTATACGGCCTGCGAAACAGGCATGACATGGTTGCCCCAAGAGAACTCGATCCAGGGATTGAGTAGGAACTGCGAGTGCTAAGCTGCACCACCTGGCAATGGGCCACTTCCGTTCTGTTACCGGAGAAGGAGGTGTATTGATAGCTCACTAAAGAACATGATAAAATCGTGAGCGCCACTTGCGAACGTCGCGAGTTTGTGTAGCGAGGGGAGGGGGAGGGTGGTAGGCTCTTGTAATGCGAACAACTTTTTTTTGCTGACAAACGATACGGTTTTTTCGAGGCCGCCACCACACAAACCGTCAAGTTCGCAAGAACGATTTGTCGAGCCCCAGCGTATGGGTTGAACGTTACTGGGTTAGGTTACTCATCAGGTTGACTTTCCTGATATGTAGCGTAAACTGCAGAGGGTACCGCACAGAAGTTGTAGGTGAACATTCTGCCCTTCGCAGCATGCTCATGCATGTCTGATGTGGAACCATCTGACCACTTCGGACTTTTCTTTTGAAAAAAATGTATTTTAGATACTTGCCTGATGATTGCTTTGCAATCAAGGTTTGCAAATAAGTGAAATGGTTTACTTAGCTATGGTTTCCTATAGTCGTTGGACGTGTTTGCATCTACGATTCGTTCTTTTTTTTCTGCTTTTTTTGAATGTCTGTTCGTTGCAGAACGATGCCCTCTCATTACGCTGTCCCATGTGTCGTGAAGTGTGTGTACTGCCAGCCGGAGGAGTCCACGCTTTACCAGCCGCCTTTCTTATCAATCAGCTACTAGATGTGATGCAGGTAAGGCTTATATAGAACTGTTGGCTGCTTATGCAGTAGATGAGGGGTTTGGCCTAACGGACTGGCCAACACATCGGCTTACATACCAGTTGAGTGGCTTATACAACTCCATATTGGGGATAAAGTGATTCTTTCAGAAGCAGCGGAAAGACGTTATCCCCTCTTGCACAGCTCATCCGACGGAGCAACTTTTGTATTGTGAATGTTGCGACTTGGTGTTCTGCCAACAATGCCAAACTTCAGTTATCAAGTAAGTTCAGCGGTACTATTTTTTGTTTAGAGGCTTTTAGCAACTGTTTGCGTATCATTATGCACAGCCTCATTGCGGCTGGTGTTCATAGGTCATAAATGACACCGTCAAGTCGCTAATGTGGCGCACTTCTGCGCGTGGCGGCCAGAAAATCCTGTAGGAGATCTGTAATTAGTCATCGAGTGTAGCTGCTTAGCGAGTATTTCTGACATACTGACAGTATACGAGCTTAGTCTCCCCATAGGTGGAGGTGCGACAGTAACAAAGGGTGCCACCATTAATAAACATTGTCCGAGAATCAAGCAGAGGCTCATGCCGCCTAAGAGGGTTCTTAGCATAGGTGTCAATCCGGCGTTTCAGCGGTACGCTCTCGCTTAGCGCTTTCCTAGTCGCTCAAAACGCTCAGGCTGCCATACTGCAAAACTCTGCTAGACGCTCAAAACCCTCCGGAACGCTGCCGTATGCTCAAACGCTGCCGTGTGTTCATGACCTAACGCAAAGTATGGACTCCTCTTTGAGCTTCGTCACTCGCTCTTACATGCCAAAAGTGACTGATTGATGCCAAACGCTTTATTTTCTACCCTTATTCAGCGTCATGGCTCAAATGGGAGAAGCATTGTTTTCTTCAACCACTGAAATGAAGCATTCTTCGCTATATTCAGCCTCTTTCAGCAAGAAATGCACTCAACACACGGTTATTCCATTTTCGATCGCACTGAAGCGAATGTCAGAAATCGTGGTTTATCGTGCAAAGGTAGTCATCTAGATAAATTTCTTCCTTTTTAGCTACCTACTTGTCTCAGTCAACTCGGCGACGCACTTTGATCGAAGTGCTGATCAGGTGTTCAAGTCCATTTCGATATCATGTCTATCTAGCCCTCAGACCGCGTCAAACATCGCGAGCGATCGGTCGCGCAATTCAGTTGAGCGATTTGATCGCAAAGTCTGACCGCAGTCTTAAATACTTCCAGTAATTGCCCATTTAGTTTCATACCTACTTCCCTGCAAGTGGGTGTTGAATACTCAAAGAGTCCGAGAAGTAGAACCTTTGTTACCACTGTTTTTTTAACTGTATGTGGCATTCGATAGTAGTTATACTTTTTCTCAGAGCCGATTCTACTTGTATATGATATGCTCGAGACAACCCCAGACCTCCCATACATTTTTTTGTCTCTTCCATGTAATATTCCTCCATCTAATTTTTTCACAGTATTCTACCCGACCACAAGCAAACCGTGTGTTCGTGTACGAGAAGAGCTAGAGGTGCGCATGAAGAGAAATATGGCGCTTTAGATGCGAGAAACAGAAATTCCTTATGGATATTTCTGCGTCTCGGAGCAAATATGTGGTCGTTCATTCCACAATCTGCAGGCAGGAATCTGTTAATATATTAGAAACCAGACTATTACTCTCGTGTGACAGAGACTTTTTGGTGTCCAGGAATACCTAGCAGTTCTTGGCGAAAAGCATACAAAGGGGATTAGATTTCATTGTAGAAACTTGAGAACAAAGTATTGCTATATCCCTTGCTTTGATGCTAGGCACATGCTTTCTGCACTGCTGATCCTCAAGGATTTTCGAGAGCTCGAGAATTACCTGCTTTCCCTGCACCTGTAAGCTTTTGCGGTAAATCCAGGGGGAAGTTATGTTTTTCAGTCGAAAAATTGACGGAATTCATTTCAGTTTGTACCTTAACCTAACATAGTTTGCGAGTAAGGTTTTGTTGTTGGTTATGCAAAGCTCATTATATTCACAAGTTCTTAGAAGTTAGAGATATTCGTTTGAGATGTGCGCTCTTCAGGGTCGACTTCGCGCTCTGGATCAGGCTCATGTATGTGTTAGCCAGGAAATCGAACAGTTGGACAAAAATGTGGATAAGATTGTTGACCAGATCAACGGCACATTTCAGGTAGTTTTGATGATATTCAAAACAAACTTCTCAAAAGCACATCCCGCCATCGCAAGTCGTATAAGTCCTGGATTTACAAGCAGGGCAGATTCTTACCGACTATTTCCTCCAGGGGCAGATTCAGCTGAAAAAAATGTTTTCAGGGTAGGTCGACTCCCTGAACATGGATAACCGCTTGGCCGGAAGCCGCCTGGGTAAGCATGTGGTCCCGTCGTTTGCGGGCGGTCAGCAGTCTTGTGCCAAGCGAATATGATTTTCGTAATCTAATTACCCCAAGGACAAGTTTTCAGCCAAACGTGCCTATGTAAAAAGAAATCGGTAAAAACTGGCCTGCTTTTGAAACAATGGAGAAGTAAAGAAAGGTACTGTGGTGTCGCGGGAGACTAGGAGCAAAGGATAAGAAAGTAGTAGAGAGTAAGTGAGACGACAAACACTGTCCAGTTTCTGACGTGCGGAAGTGTTGCAAAAAGATAGGGTTCCACCATTTTTTGAAGAAACCAATCCTTTTTGGGATGGGTTCTACTCCCAGCTACCACTCAGAATCGTATTCTCTCTCTGAATGCATGCAAAGACTTCGGGGACCAGCTGATGTACAATTCAGCGTTTTACCGCAGAAAGTTTGGTAAAACCAATTTAGCGGTCGCATAGGGGGGATGGTAGGACCGGGAGGAGGATCGGGATTTGACCCTAGATCGCGTGCGTGGTAAACGGGGCCTTCCTTCCTTTGGGTTCAGAATTTTGTCTGTGACATGCAAATGCCTGAATGTCGTGCCAAAAAGTGTACAGCTTCAGGTAAACCATGAATGAACCCATGGTCCATGAGTCATCGGTGACGTCTTTTCAGAGTGCATTTTCGATGAGTCACTGCTATTCTTTTCGTAACTAGACGGTTTAAGAAGTGAGGGTTCTGCTCCGCTCAAAATTCGTATCATGTTCAATTTTCTATAGTGGTTCCTGAAACGCGAAACCCCGCTATTGCGTATTTTGGGTATTTGGTAACCTAAAGTATACGTGAATCTCCACGGAAAAATGCAAAAAAAAATTTGGAGACCCTAAATAAGGATCCATCGCAACCTTACTGTACGAATTTTTCGGACCTCGTTTTATGTCCGCAAAACGATATGCAATTGCCTGTAGCTCACTAATCGTTTCATGGTTTCATCCAATGCTAACACCATCTCACAGTGATAAAAATGGAAAAAAAAACATGGTGTAAAAACTGTGCTCGTGATAAAAAATAGCTTTTGAGTTTTGGTGGGCGGTCCGACCAAGTAGGCGTGAGAACAGCCACTTTGCACGGCCACAGCGCCTCCGTGAAGCCGCGAAAGTGAGTTAGTCTTAGGGACTGCGGACCATTCCATTTAAACCAGTAGGGACGCCTACGAATTGGCTGGGCGCTGGGACTGCCTTTAAGGCAGAGATTTCTTGGATCGCCAAAAGAGCCCAAATGTTGACTCTATGGTTGGATGTGGTTTGATGAAGGTCACCGCCGGCTTTCTCCCTTTCGATCAAAATCTTGATGATAAATCTTTACAGTCTGCAATCGTAATGATTTTTTACAGTATCTTGCGGTCCCATAACTATAACGAATCACAAAAATTGTACGCTTTGAATAAACTCATCGTGAGGCGATCGATTGCATTTTATAAAAAGCTTCTGTTATCGCGTTTGCGCCTTTCCCATCATCTCTTCGTATGTCTAGCGCGTCACTGCATAGATGTATATTGTGGAAACTGCGTGAGCAGCACGGTTATCACAGGCTAAGGCGATTAGGTTGGTTTCTCTGCCACCCAGTACTATTTTTATGTGTTTATGTTTTGATTTAGAAGTTTGTAAGCTTCTTGAAGACTTAGTGCAAAATCGAAAATTCCGAAAAAGTCCAATGGAGTGACAAGTAGAACAAAAGAGGACTACAAGAGGCGCCCTATCGTATGTAGCAGTTTCGAAGGTGCTGGTGAACGGTTGAGCGTAACTGCATCCGAAATTTGAATTTCGTTCTTTAAGTGCAGTCGTAAGGGTGCAGGTGGTGTTGTCTAGTGGTGACGTCTAACTCTCACATGCCCAGAAGGTCTATTTTGAATCAATTTTTGATCCCATTCATGTGCCGATTTCAATATTGAAGTGAAAGGCGTGGCGCTTCCTGAAGTGGACTGATGTGCTGTGTGAAGTGGAGATAGTGACTAATGGTCGCTTGCCACACGCGCGGTCCAGGTCAAATCCGGAATCGACTCCCGCCCAGGTCAACCAAGCCCTATACCAGGGTCAAACGTACGTCCTAGAATTCGCGACGTAGGGGTCGTAAATGACGTACCTCGGGCAGGGGTCGTAAGTGCGGGTATTGATAATGGGTAGAGCAGTGGCAACAATGGTAGAATACGGCTCCTCCTTTCTTGTCTAGAGGGTTGCTTGGCTTGGATTAGATCCATATTCCATTGATTCCTATTTATCACGATTGGGAAGAAGTGTATTGGGAGTCATTCATGGTTTCTGGATGGAAATGTCGGCTATAAAGTTGGGACTGAAGCTAAATTTCGGAGCAAGGTCCGCAGAGGGCGAATTTCCACTGTAGTGAACTTACACTAAAATTTTTGTAATAGTTGGGAAGAGAGAAACTTCCAGTTTTGAAAACCGTGTAGTTTTCAATTCTACGTTATGTCTCAACTGACTTTTGTCCATAGAAACTTTGAAAAACTCGCGTTCATAAAAAATTTTCCGCTTCCGCTTTATCTCTGGTGTAAGTCCGCCATGCATGCTAATGATAACTCAAGGTATTTTGTACGACCCTTCTCAGAAACCACAGATTCTGCTCACCGCTTTTTAATTAACACTGAAGCAAAGGTCGAGTCCAGTCACGCAGCACAGATACTAAGCGGACACATCGGCAGTTTGTAAGATGGGGGGAGGGGGAAAACTCGTATGGATACTTTTTCCTAGAGCATTGTCGTACCGATCGGACAATTTTCCGTGACGCCTACCCTAACCGCCAGAGACGGTGAATTGGGACCAGATTCATGTGGGAGGATAAGAACACTGACTTGTACAACGGCTGACCCCGTGTCATTGAATAGGCTGCACCGCATTCAACAAGCCGTTGCGAATTCAAATGTAAGTAGGAAGCGTGGCGCCCCAAAAAGGGACCGATCAACGGCTAACATTTTATTCTTGGTATAACTGGTGCTATCCTTCATCCTTTTGTCCTTTCTTATTTGTGGAATCACATGATGCCAGGGCACATCATTGGTTGGGGATTTTAGTCGACTCTATGCGACCCCCCCCCTCTACAATCAGATTTTCCCCAACTTCCTGCCCCTTTTTTCCAAAATTTCCCGAAAACTTCCCTACTTTTTACCAAAAATTTTGCTGTCGAGCGGGGGGGGGCATATAGTACGCATGAAACAGGAAAAAAACCAAAAGTCAACCACCACTCCCACAACGCCAAAACGTAAATACGACCCCCCCCTCCCTTTACAACGTCCATGAAGCGAGAAAAATCAACTATCAAAATAAATTTTTCTCAGCCCAAATACGACCCCCCTCCTGGCGACCAAATACGACCCCTCCCCTGTTGGGGATTCCCCAACAACGATGTGCCCTGCATGATGCTCGTGTCATACACCGACAGTATCTTAACTGTTTACAATGGCATGCGAAGGGAGAGGATATGTGCACGTGTTCCTGGGGTCATAAGTACTAGCTAAATTGGATCCTGTTATGCATCACCCATAGTTTCCCCAAATATGGTACTATGGCGAGTGGAGGGTGTTAACGAAGCTCACTTCTAATTGTCAGGGTAACCTGCATTTTTTTTCGTTCCTTGATACCAGTAGAGGGGTTAAAAACCTGGCGCTAGATGTATGCTATAAGAATGAACGTCGGTTTGAGCTTCATGCGTGAAGAACGAAATGTGTTTTCTTACAATATTCTGCCATTATAGTATTCACTGCTATCTCAGATCTGAGCACAACATGCGTCATCTTCAAAAACATTTCGTGCACTTGATCATGCAATATCATACGCTCTGTTTCCCCCCTCCCATGACTGTGCTTATACTGTCCAGTTTACAAGTGTGGCAATGATACTTTGTCTGTTTCCAGTTCTTCCAAGTATACGTTAGCAGTAGTAGGGGCCTCCCTCATGCCGAACAGCGCTGTAAATCCTTTCCGCGAACAGACATGTACCGCATATGGGGAGTTTGCCATCCTTTATTTGCCCTGTGTTTAGTTCTATTTTGTCAAGGTCAAGCGCTTATAGCAGTGATAAGATGGAATTTGAGTGTTGATGGGGAAATGTTGTTTTCGCAGTGTTGACCAGAAGTTTTTGGTGTGGCTCGGCCTTTCCCATTATTTATTTAATTTTTTATAATTCTAACTGGTTTGGTTATTTTTATAAACTTTTTATTTATTAGCTATCTCATTGTAGTGATAATTTTCATTTGGAGATTACATAGTACATAGTTCGGTGCAGCGCCAACCTGTTTGTCATTTTTTGGCGAGCGACGACGTTTATGTGACAAGGGAACCATAATTCGCGCGCCCGTGGGCGTCACGGGCGGCGTTGCGCCCCATAATGACGACGTTTTAGGTGGTATTGGTCGAGAATAGGCAATGTATGACTAAAAATAGACATATTGTGTACCACGTCTTGTCTACTTGGAATCCGATGCTACAATCGAAAGGGTAGTGCGAACTGAGAAAGCGTCGCTCACATTGCTGCGCGCGTGAAGCGGTGAATTAAGATCCTTCCCCCTCCCCCTCCTCGACAAGACTGTATCACATCATTCCCCCAGTCTTTTTCCACCACTTGTTGTCACTTATCTACTTTAACACAGGTGGAGAATCGGTTTGGCAGCCTGCCAAATGCAGCCGCGCGGACACGCCCCATAGTCCGCTGTGTCAGACTGTAGTGGCGTAATAATATCAGTAGCTTGGTAAGGCGAAGGAAGTGTAGTGGCAGGTGGATCCATTTACCAATACGCTGCCTGCGGATCAGATCGCGGATTAGCTCCTGCGGGGGTACTATTCCTCTGAAAAAAGACCGTCCGTTCAGGTCTAGTTGATTGGTAAAGATTCGTATGGGAGAATAAAAACGCGAATTATTATATCGACTACCCCTTCCCCTTCCCCGCTCCTCCCCTCCTCCCCTCCCCCTCGCCGCCCGCAAGTCCGATATCACAATAAGAGCAATTATGGTTTTGATTAGAAGTGGAACTCCTGCAGCATTTTCAAAATTGTTTTCTGATGCAGTAAAAAGTTGTTCTTTCTGTCGGCTTTCATGGTACTAGGGTGTTCTCTGGTGTGCACGGCGACATGGTCGACAACAAGGGATGAGACTGTCCGGTAGAGTCTCTCCTTTTTCTTCTACTCCCTTGTAACGCTGCTCATTCCTCTGCACTTTCGAGAACCTTACAAACTCCAAAAATTCTCGTGTCAAAGGACAGCGTACCGTATCACGATATTCTTCAACATTTTCTCCCAACAAAGACCCTAATCAACTAGCTCTTTTTGGATTAGTTGCGCCTGGCACACTTATTCTGAGAAAATTAAGATTCTTCTATGTGCGATCTAAAAAGTGTGGAAACCCTTGAATAACACTATTTTTGTGACTTGTTCGGAGTTTTTGTTCGCTACAGTAGGTGTAGCAGAGCAGTGCTTCGGGAGACCAGCGCAGTGTTCCACTGTGCTGGTCTCCATCACGAAGCGTTTGAGGAACGAGAGGGAGCAGGTCTTTTTAGTCCCTCCTACCTTTTCACCTTCAATTTCGTCACTCTTTGAGAAATGTAGTAAGAAGATTTACAGTAACCGCTTGGTGCCTATGCCTTTTCGCCGTGTTGGTACGTACCACTAAGGGCTTGGGCGGTCATTTCTGAAATAGCTCACACAATAATAAATGTTATCGATTACTGTGGGGTACCAAAATACCAGATTGAAACGTGCAATTCTTAGGAAGTATCGAATACAGTCGAGAATCGCCGCCGCGATCTCATCGAGACTGTGCGAGTGCGGCGTGACGAAAAACGCAAGGTGCTAAAAGATCAGATCGAAGCGATCACGGACGAAAAAAAGAAACTTGCCAAGGTATGCTGTTTCTCTACAAATTTCGTTGTTCCCTGTTCAGTTTATGAAATTCACCGGTTTTGTAAATTTCGATCGATGTAAATTTCCCTTTTGTCATAGGGAAATGCTCGCTTCAGCAATAATGCAATTGTTTACAAGTATCTTACCTGTTCTGTAGGAATTGGAATCTTGTCAACTGGATGTGCGATCCATGGCACGTCAGCTGAAGACCATGGATACTGGATGGGAACGTCAACTGACGCAGCCACGAGAGAATGCCTTTTTGAAGCTGAACACGAACTCTAGCCAGTTGATCTGCGGTAATTTCATTAGATCTGTGTCATGATGTTTTTATTTACTTCGCAGCTTCCTAAGTTGTAGGTTGAGATATAAGCGCATGTAGATGTGAAAAAAAGCGAAATGTCCTACCAGAAACAGCACGTTGTGCCATTTACTGTTTGCTCGTGTATTTCGTGAGCAACAAATCATTGCCTAACTAGATCGTAATGAACTACTACCTCTTCACAGTTTGGACTTTGGGTCTCGGTGCAGGAAAAGGGCGTGTCAACTATGAAAAGGGAAACCAGCTGCTCATCCTCCATTTGTGATGCGCCGTGCATCCTACCTCGATTGGGATCGTGGCGATGTTCGCATACGATTTATCTCCTACAGTGACTTCCTGGTTGTACCGTTTCAGCTGGTCGAGCCCGCAGTCAGTATATGCTTGATTGGCATAAGAACCTGAGATATGGCAGAGCGTGTCAATCTGCAGATAGGTTGAACTCAGTTCCTTCAATCGCATCGTCTTATGTTCTTTTTGGCACGCTCTCATACACATGGCGTTCTGTTACCACTGTTACTTCATACCCTCCAACTTTTTGTATGGTGCGATAGTCGTCCCGGAGGTCCCGTTCAAAAAAGTCGGTCTCATTCGTCTGTTTTCCATACATCATATGTTTTTCGCCGCATGGCACTCCGGCAGCCAATGTCCTCTATCTGATTGTGCTGCAGGATTTTGCAACAGGATCGTGCAGAGTTCAACAGGCCACTTGACCGTGGGTATCCGTTGTATCACCAAAACTACTTGAAAAGGATCGAGTAACTAAGAGAAGAAACTCTTGAGAAGCTTCACATTTTGACTGTTGAATTAATGGGATCTCAACACGGCTGAAGGATTGTCATTTAGAATGAAAAAGGCCAGCTTGTTAAAAACAATCAGTGGACAGCTTAGCGTATTTAACCGTCCTGTTCTCCGCAGTAGCTTCAAAACAAAAAAGGGGGGGGGGGTAGGCGCGATACCCTATCTTTCTCCATCTATTGCTGAAGCAAGTGCAAGTGGCAAGACTGTATCTCATCGTATGTATCAGTCGTTTTTCACCAGTGTTGTCGCTTGCACGCTTCCCCAACAGGGGTAGATTTGGCACTGCGCCCTTCATCCGCAGCGAAAAGGCTGTCCATTCTACGCAACAGGCCACTTGACCGTGGGTATCCGTTGTATCACCAAAACTCACTCTGAAAAGGATTGAGTAACCAAGAGAAGAAACTCTGAGAAGCTTCACATTTTGAGTGCTGAATTAATTGTAATTAACTCAACACGGCTGAAGGATTGTCGTTTAGAATAAAAAAGGCCAGCTTGTTAAAAACGATCAGTCGGTAGCTGAGCGTATTTAACCACTCTGTTCTCCGCAGTAGCTTCAAAAAGGGGGGGAGGAGGGTTGGCGCGATACCCTACCTTTCTCCACCTATTGTTGAAGCAAGTGCAAGTGGCAAGACTCTATCTCATCGTATGTATCAGTCGTTTTTCACCAGTGTTGTCGCTTGCACGCTTCCCCAACAGGGGTAGATTTGGCACTGCGCCGAACCCGTTCCTCCTGACACACCTCTTCATCCGCAGCGAAAAAGGCTGTCCATTCTACGTTTTCCCTTCTGTTTCTTGATATTTCTCTCGACGATGATTGTCCTCCTATTTCAGATATTCAGCGATGCCTAGCAGATTTCGGTTCATTAACGGCTTCAACAACGTTCCCCGGTGAAACAGTAGTCGAGCTACTCGATACGGCGTCAACGTACACGGAAGTGAAGCTGATTGTTAGGTTCGTTTTTGTTCATCACCTACGGAGTACTTGACGCTACTACTTTCATGCAGTGTACGTCAGATTTAGATAAGAGCGCGTTCGTACTTCGCGGTCGCGCAATTGGATGGAAGATCCAGTCGCAAAGTATGAACGCGCTCTAAATGCAGAAAAGGGAAAGCTGCGACGTGACGTGGCCATGGTCCCTGCGGTCCGCACTACCAAGTTCTCCTTTCTAGTACAATCGTCATCCATTTTAATGTAAAAAAACCTACTACGTGACAAAACATTTGTGCAATTATTCGCGAGAGGAGGCGGCCTTCATGCAAATCGGTTTAGCTGGGCATCGTATTTTGCGGCTGCTGCCGCACTCAAAACCCTCAGAGACAAATATGATCCCATAATTTCGAAGTTTCCGGAGGAGAGACGCTGCCGCGTCCATTGATTGGCCCCTTTCGTCCCTCCACCTTCACTGGTTTTTTCCTCTACTATTCACAAATGTCTTGTTGTAAAACAATCCTGAGGTAGTATTATGGAATCACTCTCTCTATCGTTTGCAGGACATTTGATGTGGACTGTCGGCCGAGAACAACTGGTGGAGATCCTCTGGACGTACGACTTCGATGTGATGAGTGCTCGCTACCAATTTCAGTCAACGATCTCAATGATGGCACTTATGAGTTGTCCTTCAGGTGGGAACTTTCAGCGAATCTCTCCATTATTTATGTTGCTTTTCTATTGGCTCATCAACTGGAATATCACAGTTTTAGAT